AGTTGGGGGCTTGAGGCCAGCGGGTTTCTTCAGCTGGGCCTCAGCTTCTTGGTCTGTACAGCAAGATTAAGAGCACACCTCTCACAGCCCTCTGAGGATGGCGTAACATACGGTCCAGCTGTGAAAAAAGCGCAGCCGCTAAGGGCATCTGCTAAATGGCCTCAGGACCTCACGTGGAGTCGCCAGTGACCCAGAAAACCCACTTCTGGGTGCAAACACCAAAGAAACAAAAGCAGGGTCTCCCCGGAGCATTTATACATCAGGCCCATGGCAGCAAAGAGCCAGAGCCCCCAGGTGCCCATCCCAGAGGGACGAACAGGCAACAGGTGGTAACACAAAGGATGGGGTGTTATGGGCCGTACAGGAGGCGGCAGGCATCACCTTGCCTAAGGTGCCACCACAGCCCTTGCTCTGCCCATACCCACAGTCCAGTGCCTCGGCTCGTGTCCAGATTCCATCAGTGAGCCGGGACCTGGGAGACTCATGTCCTGTGCACCTGCCACCCGTGCAGAAGGCCTGAACTGAACTCCCGGCTCCTGGCTCTGGCCTGGCCCGGACCTGGCTGTTGCAGGCATTTGGGGACTGGGCCAATTCTCTCCCTCTCTCTACTTTCCAAATAAATTTTGAAATCCTCTGTTTATAGAAAAGAAGCCTGCCAAGCCCCATGTGATTTTACACGCGATCCCTGGAGACAGACTGTGGGTGGGGTGCCAAGGGCCAGGGGAGTGGGCACGGGCTGAGTGTGGGAGAGGAAGAGATCTAGACACGGAGGCGTGAGGCCTGCCCACGGCGGAGGTGGTCAGCACCACTGGGCACGTAGCTGGGTGTGTGCTAGCATGGATGGGTAGGGCAGTGTGCACTTGACAGTCTAGCACAGCCGTGGAAGTGGCCGGAGCGGCCCTGGCAGGTGTGCACGGTGCTACAGTGTATCCTAAGAGCATTTGTGGTTTCCACATAGCGACACCTATGTGGTTATTGTTTAATTAAAAATAATAGCACGGTGCTAGGAGGGAAGGAAGAGAGGAGGGCAGGGGGGAGGCAGACGGGGGCCCCCTCTAGACTCCCTCTCGGCTCAGTGCATGCTGGATGCCCTCGGAGGGAGGAGGGCGGTGGGAGCATAGCCAGGGCACACACACGCGTGTTTGTGGCCAGCCTGCCTGTTCTGTGGAGGGACCTAAGCTGCTTGGAAAGCGTGTGTACCCACACACATGCACACCCATGCCAGTGCACATGATGGGTGCACTCAAGTGCACACACGTGTGCCCGCCTGATCCAGCTTCCTGGCCAGCCCTTACTATACCCAGAGGGCTGGCTGACAGGTGAACCTGGAAGAGTCCAGATGCTGAGCCTGACACCTGGCGCCCACAGGGCTGCTTTCCTCTTGGGCCAGGGGCAGGAAGGGCCAGGTGAGATGGGCACATGGCAGCCCAGTCTCCCAGCCCCAGCGGATACCGGCACCACCTCAGGAGCTTGCCAGGCAGGCTGCTGAGTCTCACCCAGAACCCACACTGTGGGCAAGTTACAAGCATGCTGGGCCAGGCTCCTCCTTCAGAGCTACACGCTAAGGGCACCCAGCTAAGCACCTGCAGGGCCATGTTCTCAGGCTCCCTGCGGACCCCCGGGGCCTGAGAGGGGCTGAGGGAGGGGTTCACAGCTCTGCATTGTGGTCTGCTCACAGTGAGCCCACTACACTGTGTGTGGCTCCCACATGGAGTCCCTGCGTTGAGGACAGCAGCCAGGCCCAGGCCAGGCACGGCCTCACACACAGAAGCCAAGGGCTGGAGGGACGCAGCCAGAATCAGGAGTCAGAGAAGGCGATTCAGAGGGTCTGCAGCCTGGGGCGAGGCGGCTCACTGAAGCACACACAGCGAGGCATCAGATCCATGACAGGGTGGAGCATCCTGAGGGGGCTCCATCCTCATCAGGGTCCAGCTTGGGAAGGCCAGTGGGCAGCCGCTGGAGGACAGGGTCTGCCTGGAAGAAGCAGTGGTGTTGTGGCCTCTACTCTCAGGGCGCCTGCCCCGACAGTCCAGGCAAGATGAGCAGATGGGCTGCTGCCATGCTGCGTCTCTGTGTGGTTAACGCAGGGCAGGAGCCCAGACCAGCACGCTGGGAAAACCAGGCTGTGCCCAGCTGGGTGTGGACACAACAGCCTTGAGGGTCTCTTCATTGCCCTAGAAAGGCAGGAGGATGCTCCCACAAGCCTGTGCCCCATCACAAAGCGGGGAGCAGCCAGACCCTGGTGTGCTGTGCCTGGGGCTGACCAACCCACCCAGAGCTGAAAGTGGCAGGACAAGCTGCTCAGGGTGGGCCAAGGGTGCCCAGGAGCTGTCGGGGCAGTCTGAGCCTTCACCATCAGGGCAGGCCCTGCCTTCTCCCTATCGGGAACAGGGGGCCAGATGAACCCACCGATGTCCTTCAGTTCCCCAGTGACTGGTGAACCGCTTGCTGGGTGGAGCAGAGGCCCCAGAAGTGAGGCACTCCTGCAGCCGTGCGTCTGGCTGCATCCCTGGAGCACTGAGAAGAGGCAGGTGCATCTTTGTGCAGCACCAGCATTAGTGAGACAGGGATGCTAAACAGACCTGTCAGGTGGAAAGGTGGCTGGAGCACCCTGCCCGGGCAGCAGCGAGAACGACACATGGGCTCCCTACCCTCAGCAATGGGCAGTGGTCAGTGACACACTGGAAACCATGGGTTTCCTGAAGCAGAAGGGGCCCACCCCTTCACTTCACCCTCCTCTGGTCTCTGCCTGGTGGCTACTTCCTCCAGGGGAGTACCCAGAAAGGAGATGCCAGGACCCAGCTTCCCCACCCAGGGCTGCCCTGGGCACAGCGGGTGGACACAGGAAAGGACATGAGAGGAGCCACTGTGGTGTCAGTCAGCTTCCCATCACCATGACAACAGACCCCGGCCAGGACACTTCATAAGGCAAAGGAACTTGCTCAGGCTCGTGTCTCCAAACAGCATGGGGTAAGCTCCTCAGGCTGCAAGTACAGCTGTGCCTATGCATTTTCTCTCTTTTTCTCTCTCTCTCTCTCCCTCCCTCCCTCCCTCCTTCCCTCCCTCTCTCTTCCTCTCTCTCCTTCTCCCCGTGTCTCTCTCTCTCGCCCCCCAGTGCCATGAATCTATAGCTTTTGCTTGTTTAGCCCAAGAGTTAGATGAAAGCTGTTTGGGTCAAACCAGGAGGTCCATAGCAGACCTGGGGTGCAGTGGGGCGAGAGGCAGCCCACAGAACCAGTGTTGGAGAACGTTTGCAATGTGCTGGTAAGAGAGTTAGCTGACAGAAGAAGGTCATTTCTTCAAGAGAAGGAAAGAAGCCCGCTTCATAGTAACTGAATGTGAGCCAGGGGCATGGCTGACCATTAGGTGCCCACCGGGCTCCAGCCCCAGCATGCCCAGCAGTAGCCGGGCAGCTCCAAGCATGTGCCCACCTCCCACGAACCTTGCTCTTTCCTGTTCAGGGGATAATCCTGCCTGGTAGAGCCATTGTGCCACCTCACAGACGCAACACACAGGGCCCAGCACACCTGGTCCCAGGCCCAGCCGAGGGGCTGCCCGGAGACCTGAGAGGCAGGACTGGACAGCTGGCTGGCTCTGTCATAGGAGCAAGATACAGGTGAATACTGACCAACCCCTACCCCGCTCCCCACCAACAATGGCCAGGCACTGTACCAGCAGTGGAACTGCACCCGCTATTGCGATGGAACCTCCACACCAGCCATGGAGCTGGCACCACAGTGCCTGAACACGGAGCCAGAAGAACTTGACAGGGGAGGGGTGGGACGCACCGCTGTGAGCGCCTCTCCACAGAGGACGGTGTCGGGGGGTCAGGTGCAGCTCTACAGACTCCCATCTTCCTCACGGCCCCCAGGGAGCACATGCAGGAACGGTGGCCCAATCCCACACAGTGCAGACATGAGCAGGGCTCCATGGCTGTGCTCAAGATGCTGCTGGTGACTTCGGGGCAAGGGACAGTGGTTGCTGGAGAGGGCAAGGCCTGGAGGGAGCTTCCTGCCAAGGCTGCGGTCTGGGTGCTGACGCAGAAGCAGCCCTGGCAGAGGGCTGGGTTTTACATGCAGGGTCTTGCACCACAGCCAAATCTTTGATGTCCATGTTCCCTAGGGTGGCACAGAGAGGAGGACACGTGTCAGGGAACCGGTCAGTGCCTCTGCCCACTCTGAAAGTATGGCCCGCCCAGATGATGCCCTACGTTCTTCCCTGTGATGGATAAGAAAGGGCAGGCATGGGATGCACTGGCTCAGAGATGCTTGCCCTCAGCAAGCTCATGGCGAGGCTGTATGCAGCCAGCCCTGAGGCCTCCTCTATACCTGTCAAGCACGGCCAGTGGCCTGATGACAACCCATTGCTGCAAAACCCTCCACCCTGGCGAAAGTCTAGAAGCCTCCCAGATACGTGTGCAGTGGGCAGGAGAGGCCCTGAGCTGTGCAGGTGTGGTCAGCTAGCGCCTCCTCTGCCGTGGTCACCACGTGGGGTTTTCTTTGGCCATTAGTCTTGCTCACAGTTTTGCAAAGCCGTGTGCAAACCCGGGAGTGGGGTACCAGGCGCACCTGTGTCCATGCACCATGACCTGAGAAGACGGTGGTGCAGGTGGAACCATACAGCCAAATACAACAGGTTTCACAGAACAGAGCAGAGCCGGCCGCCAGAGGAAGGGGCCGGGGACCCAAGCTGACTCATGTGAAGGCATATGAGAAGTTGTGGCAGAAAAGGTGCTGACTCACACTAGGGTAGATGCTGAGTCGTGTTATCCATGGTGTTCCCCAGGGGGGATTGCCCACATGGTTGTCTGCCATGGGCACCCTGGCGCTAGCGGAAGCAGGGGTCAGAGCAGACCCCGGGAAGGCCCACAGCCCCGACTCATGCGCAAATTGCAGGGGGGTCTCGTCTTCCCTGTCCAGTTCTTGGGGGGTGCGTGGGGTCTCCTGGCACTGGACCGGGTCTGACCGAGAGAAATCACACACATTTCCTTTGTGTCGCAGGGACTCTGGGGGCAGAGGCGCCATCCGACCAGCCGTGAGCAGCTTCCACAGCAAGCCCAACAGGTCTGTAACTGAGAGGGTGTGCCTGTGGCTGCCCGCCAGGGAGCTGTGGGCCACGTCCCTGTGTGCTGGATGCCACTTCTGACTTGGGGGGAGAGTGTTGCGTTTCACTTTGGCTTTGCATTTCCCTAATCGCTCTTGGGGGAGCTGTGGACGGGACAGAATAGGAGATACCCCAGGTCTTTAGGCTGCAAAACTGGAGCATGCAGTGTGGGGCGAGACCCCCTACACTCAGCCATGCCCAGGAACATGCAGAGGGCACGCGTTGGGGAGGGCCCCCACTCGGCCGAGCCAGGTGCCTCCCCATGGCTTGTGTTCGAGCTCAGCAGCCAAGGCCCTGGAGCTGACATGTGAATCTGTTCTAGCAAGTGTCATGTCCAGGAGGCAAAGATGGAAAGTGAGGCACTCAGGGACCCCGTGAGACCTCTTAAAACATGCAGGAGCCAACTCAGTGAGGTTACCCTGATTAGCAAAGGTACACACACTCTGACAGTGGCCAACACTGGACCAGACAGCTTCTTAACAGCGGGATATGGGGCATGCCAGTGCTTAGGCAACAGACCAGACTTGCCTTGGCCACGGCCAAGCCTTGCTCGGAGACCCGTGGCTCAGGGTGTGGCAGAGGCACTCACCCAGCGAGATGGCGTAGGCAAAGACCACCTCTCAGCCCACCCTGCTTGGGGCCAGCCTGGCAAGGAGGTGCCATGCAGAAAGGCATGCTCCCCTGCCTCTGGCCTCTGCCACCTGTTGCATGGCTCTAACTCCTCAGCCCCTAACATCCTTGCTTCTAGGTTGCCAGCGGCTACTGAGCCATCACAGAGCTGTGAGCGAAGCATCAACAAAGCAGAGGCCCTGTGTCCCCAAGCCCCTCCTGTGGAAGGATGTCCCCTTTGGGGAGCAATCCCGCCCTGCTACCCAGCTCCAGGCTCTGGCAGGTGCAGCCTCACTGGCTGGAATAGCCTGGGGAGAGCAAGGTAGCCCCAGAGAGGTCCAGCTGGTGAAACACTTCCTCCAGAGCTTTCTCGCCTGGAGCAGGAGCCAGGAGGCCACACCAGGCTGGAGACGAGGGTGGGGAGGGCAGGGTGTCCCAGAGGGCCTGCCACTCGGGCAGAAGAGGCGAAGCTCAGGTCGCAGCCTTAGCCTGCAGCATGTGCAACCCAGGTTGGGGTAGGGAGGTTGGGACAGGCACTCGCGGGCTGGGGTCTCAGCCACACGGAGCATGGAAACCTGCCGTGGTCCCAGAGGTTCCCCCACCCGGCCCTTGCAGAGGGGCCCGCAGCAAGCGAAGCCAGGGTGGAGTACTTCACTGCCCAGAAGACCATGCAGGGGACCCAGGCACGGAACTGCTGGCAGCAGAGTGGAGCTGGCCACCTCCCACACAGGCAGCAATCACGTTCCCTTCCCAGCACCTGGGAGAGATCTAGAAACTGCTTCTGGGGTGTACCCAGCAGGTGCCCAATGCAGGCATCTATGTAGCATCTCTGTGGGTGCTTTCTTGGGAGCATTTGCCATGTGTGTGCCCAGGGTCCAAGGCAGACTCCACGGGCGCCTGATCACACATGTACCCAGGGCTCAGGACAGACCCCACGGGGAGCCCCAGATGCCAGCCCCAGGCCCTGTGAGTACCTCAGTGGGGCAGCTCTCATCACAGCCATCTGTGTTGCTCCCTCCCCAGCGTCTGCTGTCCAGTACAGTGACGGGGGTTCTGTGCTTGTGATGGGCTGCCCCTGCCTGAGGTATCGCCCATGCACTTGGCCCGGAGCCTACAGGACACACAGGGCCACTTTAAGACGGTGACCCTCTGGGCCAGAAGCATGACCCACCACACCCCTTCCTACAAGTAGGGAAATGTGGCTTGGACAGCGTGTCCTTGCACGTTCTTGCACAGCCTAGGAAACCCTTCCACTCGGCCCTCGGACTCCTTTCACAAACAATGCGGAAATGTTGGAGAGGCTCCCTCCGCCTCCCTCATGCCCTTTCATCCTCCAGCCTCTACAAAGCGGCATTTATCTGAATCTGAGACAGAACAGTGGCCCTGGGAGACATGGAGGACCAAGGCAGGTGGCGAGGAGACAAGGGGCATACTCACTAAGGGAATTCAGCAAGCCGTGTGTCTGGCTCTCACTGAAGGACCCCATCGTGTTTAGACCCTGGCTGCACAGCAGTAGACAACAAGTGTGGGGCTCTTTGCCTTGAACTCTTGAAAGCATCACATGTCCACTTGGTGCACTCGCACAGCGCTTAGAGGCCACCATATGCACAGACAAAGGGACTTGGATGTGACCCCTGTGCTTCTGCAAGCAGCGACAGAAGGCAGCCTGGCTCCTGCCTCCCTGTAGACAGCACCATTGCCTGCTTTCTAGGGAACCTACTGGGACAGATGGTCAGCCTCAAGTTCAAGAGGGGTTCTGACACCTGCTGTTCCCGGCATGCCCCCATACACACACTCCACCCTGTGCAAGCCAGCTCCTGTAGCCTCTCCCTGGATGGATCTTCCATTCAAATGCAACAGACACTTGGCTGGGCACCAGGGCTGTGGGAATGAGTGTTTGTGGGGCTGGGGAGAATGACCCCGCTTGTGGTCCAGTGGGGGTGACACAGCTGATGCTTCCTGCAGCAGGCAGGGGCTGAGGGGGAAGCCACAGGCTGCGATTCCGTGTTGGGGTACGGTTTGCCTCCTCACCACTCCGTGCAGAGGTGTCCAGCGGTGGCTCCACGGAGAAACGTGCAGAAGCCCCGGTGGATGGGAAAGGCTGGAGAAGGCTTTTCACAGCCCTGTCTTCCTCCCTGCCCCACGATCTCCAAGCACCAACACTGGGTATTCCTGAGGGAGAAGATCTGTGCATCCTCTCGTGTGTTTACAATCGAGCCTGTGCTCACATTGTCAGTGTGTAGGCTGATCTGTCTCCTGTCCCCTCCAGTTCCTCCAGAGTTGACGTGGGCGTCAACGGCTCCTCCTGGCCGGCCACTGCGGACAGGAGCAATGACAGAGTGAGGCCCAGCGCCCAGCCTGCCGCCGCCAAGTGGAGGCACAACCAGACAGTATCTCTGCGGATCAGGTACTGGGTGGCATGCTGGTCCTCCGCCATCCGGGCAGTGAGCAGAGCAGGCGGCACCTTCACTGCAAGGCATCCTGCAGTAGAACCAGCCGCACCAAGCTGGAGCAGAGCCCACACGCAGCCGCTCTGGGCAGGGGAGATCCCAGGCTCAGGACGGCACACAGGCTGGTGGCAGAAAGCAACTCTTACAGGGGTGTCCCCTTCCTGAAACATGCCAAGGACAACCTCCCCTGGGCCAGCAGGAGCCTGGAGCTGGCCCCTGGCCCTGGAGGAGGAGGCCAGGTGCCAGGCAATAACTGGTCCTGACCTGGGCATGGTTATGTGGGCACACTCAGACAGGCAAGGGCAAGTGGCCCATGGAGAAAGAAGTCCAGCTCCTGCGTTGGAAGCACTTGGGCATGACACAGTCACAGCTGGCCGGTCTCTGTCCAAGCCTCATGCTGGGGTCCCAGGGCGCTGGCATGAACCCCAACAGGTCAGCCTGGGAGGCACCAATGCCAGTGAGGGCAGGAGGCTCACGAGCCACACATGCGCGATCAGTGCCTCTTGCAAGTAGACAAGAGCAGAGGTGATGACCGTCCCTTGGTAAGGACACCGAGGTAGTCAGCAGTGGCTGCCCAAGGGTTGGGTTTTGCAGGATGGCTAGGAGCCCACCAGGTGTGACAACTAAGTCTTACAGATGATCAGAAGTCTGGGGTTGCATTTCAGAGGAGTTAGGGAGTTGGGGGAGGGGCTAGCCAGGTCCCGAAGGTCCGCACTTGGTGACTGTCCCCGGCCATCCGTGTGAGGGAGGAGCCCACAGCCCCAGTGGAGTCTGCCCCATGGGCGGGAGCCCAGCAGTGTGTAAGTGCCCAGCTGTGTTCCTGAGACTAACCTGCCATGTGCAAGGGAGTGGGAGCTGGGGACAGGGCAGCGGAGGCCACCGCAGGCCAGTCATCACCGCCTCCTGGATCCTCTGGTGGGAGAACCCAGCTACCAGCTGGGGCTCCGGGCAGCCAACTGCCTCACCCAAGAACTCCTAGGCTGGGCCTGGGAGAGGGACACGTGGTTAGGGGCACCATGCACCCTCACTCCATCTGGGCCTGGAACCCTCGCAGCAGTACCACACCCTGCTGTCCCCACTTGCTCACCCCTTCTCACCGAGGGGCCAGGTCATTACTGAGGCAAGAAGTGAGGGACATGCCGTGTGAGGGTCCTAGGAGCCCCCCAGCCTGACTCACTAGGCATCTCCTGATGCCAGAGAAGCTTCTGCCCGCTTCATGCTCCACAGCAACTTAGGGGCACCTCCCGGACAGTCCAAGTCCAGGAGCGAGGAGGGCAGAGTGCGGCCACCTGGTGCCCCAGTGTGGCCACCTTGAGCTTTCTGGCTGTGCACCTGCTCCCCGCAGGCGGGGCAGGCTGACCGGGACAGGCGAGGCGGGGGGAACAGGGGCACCTGGCTCAAGTGTGCCTGCCTCCCCAGGAAGCAGATCCTGAAGTTCCTGGATGCCGAGAAGGACATCTCGGTCCTGAAGGGGAGTCTGAAGCCCGGCGATGTCATACACTACATCTTCGACCGCGACAGCACCATGAACGTGTCCCGCAACCTCTACGAGCTGCTGCCACGCACCTCGCCGCTCAAGAGCCAGCGCTTCCGCACCTGCGCCATCGTGGGCAACTCAGGGGTCCTGCTCAACAGTGGCTGCGGCCCCGAGATCGACACGCACAGCTTTGTCATCAGGTGGGCCGAGTGCTGCCGTCCCAGCTTCAGCAATGCTCCGGACTCCCCAGGGAGCTGAGGGCCTCCTCGGGACATGGCCACGGGGGAGAGGACAGACCAGCAGAGCCCCAAGTTGGGCCCCAGTGTACAATGGGCCAGAAGCCCCTGAAAGCCCAGGACACTGGAGAGGTAGTGTGGGCACTACGGTGACCCCAGGATGGAGGAGCCAGGGCAGTGCCAGCCTGTGCTTGCTGTGGCCATCCCTGCCCAGGCCAGGCTACCCATTCCTGATGCGCAGAGCACTCGGTCTCCACGGTCCATAGCCCTGCGGCCTGTGGACCAGGCTGCTGGGCAGGGCAGGACCCAAGGCAGTGTGGCTGTGTGAGGGCATGAAGCCAGCTCAGCTCAGCTCAGTACAGTCTCTGCCTTGTCACAGCTGTGGGTAAGTCCAGGAGCAGCAGCAAGAGCTGGCAGGGCCTTCCTGGTGGAACCCTTACAAAGCGGGATATGCTTCCTAAGGCTTGGCTCCCCAGCACGTCGCACGCCCTCACCTGTCCCAGCCTCACTCTTACCATCTGTGAAATGAGTGTGTGAGACAGGTGGCTTCAGGGTCCTTCTGTTTACAAATCAAGAGTCAAGGCCAATGCTGGTGAGACCTGAGCATGTCCACAGGCCTGAGAGAGTCAACTGGGCTGTCCCTCCTCCCTCCCAGAGCTCCAGCACACCCTGCCATGCCCATGGTCGTGGGGTACCCAGAAGGGAGCAGCTGCCCCGCCGGCCTTCAGATCCCCACACACACAGCTCCCCGAAGTGCTGAGGGGGCCTGGGGACATCCTTCCACAGCCCTGGTGTGACAAACCCCACACATGACACCAGGGATGCCACATCAGTTGCACTGCATCAGGCCCTTTCCTCCCCTCACCTGGGGGACAGCTTGCAGCTGCAGACCTGACCCAAGACCTCTGTCCACACTCCACCCCCGCCCCGCCATCACCATCCACCCCAGCCCTGGACAGAACCTCTGGGCACTCTGAACGTGTGTGCCCCAGTGGCACCCCTTGCAGGCAGAACACAGCTGCATCTCCCAGGCAGGGCAGGGAACCATGATGGAGGTGAACAGCCAGGAGCAACGGTCTGAGGAGGCAGGCAGCGAGCAGGCCGCTGTGGCTGGATAGGCCAGCTGGGGCAGAGAGAGCCATGCTCCCTGCAGGGTCCGTGTGAGCTCACAGGCATGCACATGCCCACTCCCCTCCGTGGAACACTCCTGTGACCCAGAGTCCCTTGCAGAGATGGCCATCACTGTCTGCGTGGCCCTGATCCAGTCAGTCTGCTTCTGCTGCCCCCTCCAGGCCCCCAAGGCTCCCCACTGCCCTCAGATCCGAATCTGTCCATGCCACCTTGCTCTGCTTGCCTGTCCTGGGCTGCACTCAGGTGGGTGCCAAGTCCCCACTGGAGGTGCTGCTGAGGGCAAGATCTCAGGGAGCATGGGAGGAGACCCCGGGGTGCTGACTGGCATCCCCCAGGGTGTTGGCGGTGCTGTGGGGGTCCTGTGCTGAATGACCAAGCCCACCTGCCTGCAGCCTCATCCTGGCTCAGGGCTCCCCTCCTGCAGGCACAACGCAGACCCAGGGCCACGAGACACAGGGAAGTCCGTGTTGGGCAAAGCAGGAGGGACGCCCCAGACTGGGGGGATGGAGGAGGAGAAAGCGGGTGAGGCCAGGGGCAGGGCGAGGTTCCAGGCCAGCAGTCTGCATCCCCTGAGGGTTATGGTGCATTGTCTCCGGCAGGTGCAACCTGGCTCCAGTGCAGGAGTACGCCCGGGACGTGGGGCTCAAGACCGACCTGGTGACCATGAACCCCTCGGTCGTCCAGAGGGCCTTTGAGGACCTGGTCAACGCCACCTGGCGGGAGAAGCTGCTACAGCGCCTGCGCAGCCTCAACGGCAGCATCCTGTGGATCCCCGCCTTCATGGCGCGGGGCGGCAAGGAGCGTGTGGAGTGGGTTAACGCACTCATCCTCAAGCACCACGTCAGCGTGCGCACCGCCTACCCCTCGCTGCGCCTGCTGCACGCCGTCCGCGGGTGAGCCAGGCCAACTGCACTTCCTGGGGAGGGGCGGGTTCTCCCTGGCAGTAGGGTGACTGTGTGGAGGCTGTAAGCCAGTGATGCCGGGGCTGGATGGTGGCTTGATGCCATGGCAATGGGAAGGCCGTGGTGATGGAGGGCGTGGCCATCTTGGCCAGCCCAGTGAATGGCATCTGAAATGCTAAGGACCAGATGTGCAGCCGCACACGCGTGCCCTGTGTCTCTCAGAGCCACAGCTCCTGTGTCCAAACCACAGGGCAGAGTAGTGACCTTGGAGACATGGGCAATGCCTAGAAAATGAGTGAACTCCTGGGTCAGCCTGCAGCCCGGCACCCAGGGATGCCCACGCTGTGACTAGCCAAGGTGTCCCCTGGGTCAGCCTGCAGCCCAGCACCCAGGGACACCCCGCTGTGACTAGTCAAGGTGTCCCCTGGGTCAGTCTGCAGCCTGGCACCCAGGGATGCCCTGCTGTGTCTCAAGGTTCAATGGGGGTTGGATCCTGGCGCAGAACTCCTAGAGAAGTGTCCAGTCATGGGCAGGTGTGGCCAGGGGCATGCTTGTGTGGGCTGCACACAACCCTCACCCCAGGGACCCAGGATCTCACTGCACCCAGCTGGAAGTCCCAAGTTCTGTAAAGAGAGGATGCCCAAGCTGGCTCCGGGTTCTGCAGGGGCCACCAGGCAGGAAGAGTGCCAGTGAAGGGGACAGGCAACCACAGCAGAAGCCAATGCTGCCAGAGCTATTTCCAGCTCTAATTGACTCACTCTCTTCTGTCAAAATAGCATTAAGCACCAGTAACAAGCCCTTTAAACAAACAGGCTGTTAATCCTGTGCTCACACTGCAGGCTTTGCAGAAGCTCCCAGAGGGCAGGGACGGGAAGCTGCAGCCCAGACTGCTGGGACAGACTCCACGCTCCTGGTGGGCAGAAGGGGCACAGGGCCAGGGAGAGGGCTCCTCTCTCTCAAGGCTCCCATGGTCACCACCAAGGCATCTGAGAAGACCAGGCATCCCCAGAGAGCCACTGCATTGCCACTTCCTGATCATGCCTGCTGGAAACAGCCTGCACAAAGGTTGTGGCCACAGCGGTACACAGGAGGACCTGACGGATGACCGAGATGGCCGAAGCCAGGCTGAGCTCTGAGCTCTGGCAAGGAGGACCCGAAGGACAGGGCAGGTGGCAGCAAGGTTGTGGGACACAGCGGTGGACAGAGATCTCACATTCTCTGCAAGGTCTGCCCAGCGTCCACCTCGGGAGTAGCAACAGTGAGCTGCCCGAAGCCGAGAGCCGTGCCCCAAAGCTGAGAGCCGTGCCCCAAAGCTGAGAGCCGTGCCCCTCGGCACCCAAAGCCGAGAGCCGTGCCCCAAAGCTCAGAGCTGTGCCCCTTGGCACCCAAGGCTCAGAGTCATGCCCCTCGGTACCCAAAGCTGAGAGCCGTGCCCCAAAGCTCAGAGCCGTGCCCCTTGGCACCCAAAGCTGAGAGCCGTGCCCCAAAGCTCAGAGCCGTGCCCCTTGGCACCCAAAGCTGAGAGCCGTGCCCCAAAGCTCAGAGCCGTGCCCCTTGGCACCCAAAGCCAAAAGTTGTGCCCCTCAGCACCCAAAGCCGAGCCCTTTGGCACCCAAAGCCGAGAGCCATGTCCCCTCGGCACCGGAAGCTAAGTCCCGTGCCTCTTGGCACACTGTTACCTAGGACCATCTGTGCGAGAGTGGAGAAGGCCCCTGGACAACCAAGGGGACCCCAGGGAGCCTGACCATAACTCCAGGAGGGCTGCCAGCAGAGCAAGACAGCGCTCGGAAATGCAGGGCCCTGTCCCAGCTCCTCACGAACGTGAGGCAGGCAGATGGGTGGGGAGCTGGCTCATATCTAGCAGGTCAAAGATTCTTTTTTTTTTTTAAGATTTATTTGTTTTTATCAGAAAGTCAGATATACAGAGAGGAGAAGAAACAGAGGAATATCTTCCATCCAATGGTTCACTCTCCAAGTGGCCACAATAGCTGAAGCTGAGCCAATCCAAAGCCAGGAGCCTCCTCTGGACCTCCCACGTGGGTGCAGGGTCCCAAAGCTTTGGGCCGTCCTCGACTGCTTTCCCAGGCCACAAGCAGGGAGCTGGATGGGAAGCAGGGCCGCCGGGATTAGAACCGGCGCCCATATGGGATCCTGGCACGTGCAAGGCAAGGAGAACCACTACACTAATGCGCCAGGCCCCAGAGCTTCTCTCGGGCAATATGGAGAGCTGTGGCCCAGCTGCCGTCACCTACGTGCCACAGTGGGGCTGCCTGGATAAGGGGGGGAACCGGGATCAGAACCCATATATGTGAGGGGACTCCCAAAAGGCCCTGAAGATGGAGTTCAAGTTTTACTTTGCCACAGAAGTTTCCAAATCCACATGGCTTTCTCATCAGCCACACACATTCATCCAATCCATCCATAAGCTCCCTTGGCGCCCGCTCCAACAGCAGGCATCTGCAGAGAGCCACCTGTGAGGGACATTAAGGGAGGAGCATTAGGCCACATGCCCTCTTGCAGCTCCTGTGCGTCTGCCACCAGGCTCGGCCCGGCCCCATGGTGACCAGGAGCCCTACTGGCAGCCCTGAATGATTTCAGTGAGCCAAATCCAAACGAAGCCATCTGGGCAACAGCAGCCGGTCCTGGGGCACTGAGCAGGGACCTCATGTAGTGGACACACTTGTTCATCAGGGCTGCTGCGACTCGGGGCCTGTGCCCTGAGGCTGGCCTTGTGCACCTGCCATGGCTCTCAGGGCTGCAGGCTCAGGCCCAGAACACAGCGCAGGGCCGGTGCCTCCTGAAGGCTGTGGGGAAGGCCTCTGCTGGACATTGCTGTCCGCAGGGAAGCAGCTGAGGCCTCCACCCCCATGAGACCTCTGGGTGACAAGCCTGCCACCCTTTCTGGCCCCGGCGTAGCCAGCTTCTCCTTGCTTCTCGTGTCTGCCATTCTCTGTTCTGTGTGAACTAGACGTATCCAGCTGCAGCCGGCTCAGGACATGGGTTCTGTCCATGCTACCTTCACACTCCCATGAGCTAGCACAGTGGGGCCCTTACTCACTCCCTCAGGCATCTCTCACCTCACCAAGGACTCTGGTGACCAGGGCCAAGGAGAGAACCTGCCACCATCACAGCCCGCCAGCCAGACGACACGTGGCCTGGCCCAGCCTCAAGGAATGCTGGGAACACGGGAGACGCTTGGAGACTCAACCAGCGCTTCCGAGAGCTGCCTGCCAGAGTCCCCTGAAAACTGGGCAGCAGGCTTGCTCACTGCTCTTGGGGAGGTGGATGGGCAGGTCAAACGGGAGAGCGCCCTGGGCAGTGAGCCCTGACCACTTGTGATGGTCAGCCGAGGGCCTGACCCACTGAGTTGAGGGGTAAAGGGGGAACAGATGGGCTATCCCCAGACGTGAGACCAAAAACAAACGCACAAAAGGGACTTAGGGCAGGGCCTGGGGGAGAGGGCAGCAGCTGCATGACCCCAGGCCCACTGAGAGCTGCTTGGCCAGCTCACCGTGGCTTCAACCCCGCTCTGCGGGAGGGAGTGTGGACAGCATGCTTGGAAGCTGGAATCGCACGACCTGCCTCCTGCCAGCAGGGGTGGCTGGCTTGAGCTCAGGCCCCAGCTGTGGTGTGCTCACCCTGGGGAGGGCCAGGACTTCACACTGAGGGCTGCTGCGAAGGGGCCAGGAAGGAACTGTGTCCAGAATTGGTCAAGGGATGCAGAAGGCAGAAAGGGCCTAGGGTGGCATGCTGGAGGGGTTGGGCTCAGGAGGGGCGGAGCCCAGCCACAGCAGCCAGTGCCCAGGGGTGGCTGCTGTCACAAGTGCGCCGCTGGGTAGGGACCTGTTCCTGCAGTCTGGCCCTTGAGAACATTCACAGTGCTCTATCAGCTTGAGCTCGGATCATGAGGCCGGCCCTTCCCGCCTGGGCAGCCTCGTGTCGCTGGCATTTCTGAGTCCCCTTTTCGGCAGCTGCATCCCCGCACATGCCTGTTCTGAGCATACTCTGAGGGTGCCCCCGGAAAGGGTGCCCCCAGAAAGGGTGCCGGCATGCACGGCTCGCTCTGTCCTTGGAGTGGCCAGAGGGAGCAACAGAACAGATGCTATGTCCACTTCTCCCTCAGCACGGTACTGCCCAGACTCACCCGACTTCTCCTGCGGTTTTGTTTTCCAGATACTGGCTGACCAACAAAGTGCACATCAAAAGGCCCACCACCGGCCTGCTGATGTACACGCTGGCCACACGCTTCTGCGGCCAGATCTACCTGTACGGCTTCTGGCCCTTCCCGCTCGACCACAACCAGAACCCCGTCAAGTACCACTACTACGATAGCCTCAAGTACGGCTACACCTCGCAGACCAGCCCCCACACCATGCCCCTCGAGTTCAAGGCCCTCAAAAGCCTGCACGAGCAGGGGGCACTGAAACTGACCGTGGGCCAGTGCGATGGTGCCACGTAAGGCAGACGCCCATGGGCTTGGTGGTCACATCTGCCGGCGACACCACGGGCAGACGGAGCCGGGGTGGCACAAACAACAGAACGAGCAGGCTAGCGGATTTCTTTGTGAAAGCAAGACAGTGACCAGAATCTATGTATTCCCAACCTGCATATCTATATTGACCTAAGTGTGCGGTGTTCACCTAGCGTAGGTAGACACAGGAAGCAGCGTGGATGCCCAGCCAGGGGACACTCGGCCCACGTGCTGGGGCGGAAGGACCGACCCGGGCTTCAGGCAAGACTGCATCCTCGTTGGAAGGACTTTGGGCTCCTGGACAAGTGGGGAGCCACACGCTGCGGGCTGCATCAAGCCACTGGGGTATGGACTTGGAGTGCCCGAGACCCAGCAGGGCAAGAACCTTCCCCCCTCTGATGGAAGTGCTGCTGGCTCAGCGAGGAAGGGAGGGGGGAAGCAGGGTGGGTGGCAGAGCACAGACCCTGGCCCGGGGCCCAGCAGGGCTGGGGACCCTGTCATGCAAACTTAGCAGTGTCATTGGCCAAGGGCTGGATCATGGTGCCAGACTGTCACATGGTGCAACGGTGGGAGACTGCTTCAGAACCAGTGGATTGGCCAACACCAGAATCCAGAATGTTCCATGTTGAGTCCCAAGGGGAGCCCAGACATTGACCTGGGACTCTGTTCACCAGCCTTCGGCCCTCCCTGAAGGGTACCGGCACAAGGCTCCTGGGGGCCTCGATGCCCCATTTCCTAGCTGTCACCAGCTGGCAGCTGTCTCAGCCTCAGCACTCCCCAGCCACAAGGGTCACCCTGGGCTCAGCAGGTCCTGTGCTGCCAGAATCCGACCTGGTGGGAGTGTTGGCCGTGCGGGACGCCAGGGCAGGAAGCGGTGGGAGCCACGGCCCTGCTCAGCTCCTCTGTCCAGCAAGACCCTCTCTGTGGGTCTCCCGCTTGCTGCCCAACCCCTCCTGTTCCGGGATGCCCCTCATTTGGCCGCTTCTCCCTGTCCTTGCTTATGTATTTATGAGTCATTTATTGCACCTCTGCCCCGGTAAAAGCAGGAGGCACCACGGCTCTGGCCCTCACCTCCCATGCAGCACCCTCTGCTCCCCACCGCAGCAGCTCCAGGCCTGCGGGCACCCTGTGTGTGGACACTCGTCCTGCCTGCCCTGGTGGCAGAGCCAGAAACAGGCCTTCTGAGGCCGGCAGGTCCCTCCCCGACTTTTCCTGTGAGGACATCCCGTGACGTCTCTGGGCCTGATCCCGAGACACCATCGTCATGAAGTCCTGCCGGCTCTCTTCCACGCCCCCATCCTCCCGCTCCCAGCGCCATGCACACCTCTGCTGGTGGCCAAGGCACCGCCCGGCTCCTCCATGCGTGTGCACACTGCCCACCCTGGCACAGCCATGGCACCTCCAGCCACCCTCCAGCCCCTGCCCATCCCCAGCCCACCACCTGACATCACAGACCACAGTTAACATCTGTTTTCCTTCCGCGCCATGCACTGGCCAGCCAGTAGGCCTGCATCCTCCAGTGTCCTCGGCCACTCGCTTCTCAAGGCTGGCACAAAGCCCCCCTCCACCCACGCCGTGGCACTCGCCACACTGCCTTGTGTGAGACGTCTGTGCGCTATCGTGACTGTCCTTGTGCTGTGAGTTCACCCTGGGCAGGGCTGGTCTCGCCCCTCCGTGTCCATCCCAGCACCGGGCGGGGGCCGAGCACGCAGCTATCACTCAGTAAATGTGTTGGATTAAACCCTGCCACCTGCTGTGCTTCTGTAAGCCCCAAGTGGCTCCAAAGGGTCCTGGGCTCAAGCTACTGAGTCTTGTGGCTTGGGTCAAAGCAGAGGTCACTGCCGCTGCTGGCCTTGAAGGGGTCAGGGCCCTGGGTGCATCTGGTCACCTTCGAGAGCCAGTGGGGGGGAGGCGGGGGCGTCATGATGGCGGGAATCGAGGCACGCTCCCCATTGCCCAGCCAGCGTGCCCTCCTCTACCAGTGCTGCCAAAGTCTTCACTGCCCAGTCCTGCCCCCCATCTGTCATCAGTGCTGCCAGGTGCCCCTCTTCCTCCTTCACCCACTCACTCCTGAGCACCCCATCTACCACGAACAGGCAGGCCTGGGTGGTGGGCAAGGAGGGACAGGGCTTCATGCCACCCCTTAGGGAAACAAAACCCACTGGCTAGTGTCCAGATGACAGCGTGAGACTGGCTGCTTTTAGTTCCATGATGGTGCCATTGCCTTCCCAGGCCCAGCAGCCCAAGTGCCCAGGCACTCAGAGCCCTAGGCCCTGCTCACAGAGCCCATCCCTGGGGCCTGCAATGAAAGTTCCACAGAATACCTAAGGGCCTTGCAACCTCCTTCCTCTTCCTCAGGCCTCCCTCCTTCCCATGAAGCCAGACCTGAGAATGGGGGCCCCTAAGGAGTTCCACAGACGGGGTCAAAACACCCCCCTGGGTACCCTTCATGGTGGTGCCCAGTGCCCGCTTCCCAGCCGGAGACAGGCGGTGTGGCCATGGCTGGAGGGACGATGCACTGCGCCATGACCCCCATGGAACAGACCGGGTGTGAGCTCCAGGGCAGGCACCACAGACTCAGGGGCCCAGGTTCTGTGCCAACACAGGCAAAGCTGTGGGGGTGGGGAGGAAGGCGCTGTGGGCAACTGAGTTCACAGCTGGTCCAACCTTAGAGCTCTGCCCTGCCCTGCTTAACCATACCCGAGCAAGTCCTCTCCCGTGGGAAAAAATGTCAAGCCTCTATGACGACTTGCATGGTCCTCAGCCCTCCTCCCCTCCAGCCACGTGCCCGCTCGTTTCTTTCTAGAACTTTCCAGAATTCTTCCATTCCGTGGACTCCGCACTTCCTGTCCTTCCTCTGTAGAGCTACTTCCCCCTCTCCTCTCCTAACCGCTGCCTCATCTTTCAACATCAAGTCCAGTGTCTAAAGGATGTATACTCCTGCTCTCAGGGTCCCTCAGCCTCCACCCTGTCTACCTCTGGGTCCCCTGCTCCCACCCCCAGGCACCGACAGAGCCTAGGCAGGGCCCTTCCCATCATCTCCACATTGCTGGGCCTGGAGGCTGGGAGACCACTTGCTCCAATGGGAGGCAGGGTGGCTTGGGGGACACAAAGGCAGGAAGCCCCAAGAGACAAACCAAGTGACAAATAATAGCTTTGAAATCTAACACACCACTCTCCTGAGAAGGTGGCCCCGAGCAGCTCGTGGGCAAGGAAGCTAAAGCCATATGGAAGGCAGCCTGGGACCCCAGGCAGGGCATGGGGCCAGGTGGAAAGACATCTGGGGGAAAACACCCCCCATCAGAGTTGGCCATCCCCTCAGCACAGGGCGGGAAGCAGGGGCTGCCAGCCCTTGGGTAGGCGGACTCATGCTACTCTCCCCAGAAAACCTTCTGTTTTCTTCTTTTTAAAAAAATGTTTATTTTTATTGGGAAGACAGATTTATAGAGAGAAGGAGAGACAGAAAGAAAGGTCTTCCAAGTGCTGGTTCACTCCCCAAATGGCCACAACAGCTGGAGCTGAGGTGATCTGAAGTCAGGAGCCAGCAGTTTCTTCCAGGTCTCCCGTATGATGCAGGGTCCCAAGGCTTTGGGCCGTCCTCCTTTGCTATGGGAGAGGACGGGAAGTGGAGCAGAGAGGACACGAGCTGGCACCCGTATGGGATCCCAGTGCTTGCAGGGGAGGACTGGCCGATGAAGCCATTGTCCTGGACCCTCCTTCCATGTTTCCAGTCCTGTCCTCTCAGGTAGGAACAACAGAAGAGTGTGGGGACCCGGGGCCAGCCTCCTGGGGAGGCGGACATTGTCAGAGATACCCATCTGCCAGGTGCAGTCTGGGCCTCATGGAAGCTCTGGGCCTGTATGGAGCACCGGGTGTCCCAGGGGTGAGAGGAGGGCACCCTGTGTTCATGGGTGAAGCTCTGGGCCTCATAGAGCATCAGGCATCCCAAGGACAGAAGGAGTGTACATGGTGGAAGCTCTGGGCCTGTCTGAACACACAGGCGCCTAGAGGGATGGGAGGAGGGTACTGTGTGTTCACGTGGGCCACAAAAGCATGGCTTCTGGCATATTACGACAGGCAGGGACAGCGCTGATTAGCAGTACCCGAAGCACTTCACCCTGCCCTCCCCGCAGCAGTCTCCTGGCAGGCAGAGGAGCAGAACGAGGACTTGTCAAGGCACCCTCCCCTCCTCTGAGGACACAGTAACAGGCTCTACCAGCCCGGGCCTGGGCAGCCTGATGCAGCTCCAGGCTTGTAGGGCCTGGGAGAATAGGAACAAGCCCAGACCTGCCCCTGGGGCTGCCTCCCTCCTGTGGCCTTCACTGTCCAGGCCGGGTGTCCCAGGTTCACGCACATAAGCCTTAAGTACAAAGGTGACACCATCTCTGTGGCCCTCGCGGCCTTTACTATCCACTGGACCTTTCAGAAAAGCCGTCCTCCTGCTCTCTAAGGCCTCAGAGCAGCACCCTGCTCAGGGTCCCCATCAGACACCCCCTGAGGCCAGCGGCCAGAGCCTGGAGCACATCCAGGCCTGAGCTGTGAGCAGGGCTTGAAGGACAGATGGGCATTTGCCATGACCCCATCCCTGTCCTCATCTGCCATCTGAGCGCTGCCCCCAACAGTCAAGGAAGGGAGGGGCAACACCCTAGTAATTTGGGAGGGTGCAGGGCAGGGTTCCACAGCCCTCCTGCTCATGTGGGTGACCTCCGGTCCCCATGAGTTCTCCTGTTCAGGGAATGCTTAGTGCAACAAGATTCGCGATCAGGATGTGGGATCGCCATGGCAACCTTGCCCAGGCAGGCAGTGAGTCAGATAACAACAGCAGAGCAGAGAGGTCACCCTGCTGCGCCCAGTGGGCACAGACTAGGTCTTTAACAAGATCCAGAGGAGCCGGCATTTCAGCACTGTCTAGAGTGGCAGCTGGGCACCGGGGACTGGCGGCAACTGATAGCCTTGGCAGGACTGACCCAGGGGGCTGATTCCAGCAC